ATAACAAAAGTGACAAATGACATCACAAAAATGGTTCAATCAAGTCCCTCCTTCCAAAGTCTCATATGCATCAGTAGTGGGTAGTAATACTACACCTATTAGCAAACCTATAACAATCTCTACTCAAACATCTTCGTTCCTTCAAGCACAACGTGAAATCGTCCTAAAGATTACAGACGCAGGAACCATAGAAAGCCTAAGGACGAAAAACCCTAGAAACCTACAGAACCATGTTGATCGTGCAATTGAGCAAAGCAAAAACAGACATATTGAAAAGATACGTAGTGCATCAGCCAATCAACTTAAAAGCGGAGACCTCAGCATCAAGACATTGAACAAAAGCGATGCAGAGGCATTGAAACAATTTGCAGAAGATTGGATAGCCCGACTCGGGAAAGGTACATCTATTCGCCTACCCACATATGGTATACTTGTACATGGAATCAGGATCAGCTCGATGGACATGGAAAAGTTTGACGAGATCAAAGCTGAACTACTACACGACAACAGAGCATTCGTGCCAAATGCAGATATCAAATATATTGGGTGGCTATCCAGAGCCGCGCTTACTAAAAAGGCCTCAACCATAATTGTAGAGTTCACCAACCCAGAAGACGCCAACAAAATAATTGACGAAGGTCTTATCTGGCAGGGAGAGGCATTTCAATGCGAGAGATACGACAGACAATGCCGACTGAAGCAATGCTATAAGTGTCAAAGATACGGCCACATAGGAACCCAGTGCAAAGCTAATACAGCATGTGGCTACTGTGCGAAAGCACACAACTCGAAAGATTGCCCTGATAAATCGGATAAGTCCACTACAAGGAACTGTGTGGTGTGCAGAGGAGCACACGAAGCATGGAATAATCGATGTCCGGCTCGCAAGGAAGAATTAAGCAAAGTGAAAGCAGCATATGATGCTAGACAACCATATCACTTCGTCCCATCATCAAAAGATAAATCACCACTTAATCAGACTAACCCCTACTTAACACCAACAGAATTGGCAATGATAGCCAACGGAAGCCAGAGGGGGAGACCAGGCAATATATCAACAGGATTAACCCCTTCTACACCATCACTCATACCAGGGAGACAAAATGCTCGAAGCAAATCTCCCACCAAGGGTAGAGCAACTAAAAGAAGCTATATAGGAAATACAGCAGAAAGCACACAGGATGAAAATGAAGACGTGATTATGGGGGAAGTCAATCAAAGGTCACGTAGACCACATATACCATCCAGAAGGGCATTAGAATCAACAACAACGAACTCAATACTCAGCTCCCAATGGAACACTAAGGAATCATGAGCCATAAAAATGACCTATACATCCTACAGTACAATACTATGAAGTCAAAGAACCTGGTCATGGCTACATTGCTAAGAGACCCAAAAATACACGAATACGATATTCTAGCATTGCAAGAACCGTGGAGAAACCCTATCACCCCAATCACTCACAATTCAATATCGGATATATTCCATTTATGCTTCCCAAAAGATAATAAGGAGATGTTTGTTAGAGTGTGCTTTTTTATTAACAAAAGAATTGACCCTAATAATTGGACATATAAAGACCACTCTCGAGATCTTGGTACATTAGAAATAATTACAAAGCCACCAGGCACAAATGAAGCAACAAAGATTATATTGCATAATATATATAACCCCCCAAACTCATCAATAAACAGAACAAGCTGTTTACTACTTCTCAAAACAACTCTCACAAGATACTAAGGTGAGGAACAGATCATCCTAGAAGATTTCAATTTACATCACGAATATTTGGGTGGCCTGAAAATACGTATAAGTGAACCCGAATCCGAGGACTTAATCGAAATCATAGAAGAAACCCAGCTAGCTAGCCTCCTACCATCAGCCACAGTCACGTATGACGATAAAAATACACAAAGCTGTATCGACCTCTGCTACAATACACAAAACATAGCAGATAGAGTTATCAAATGCTCTGTAGACTATAATATAGACCATAATTCTGATCACTTACCAATCATAACTATACTAGATTTAAGAATAGTACAACGACCGCAAAGAAATATATATGACTGGCCCAATGTGGATATGCAAAAGCTACGCGCAAACCTTATATATAATTTACCTGTGCTCCGTTCTCCTAGAACAGAAACAGCACTAGACAGATATGTAGACGAGGTGGTAAAAGCTCTGCAGCTTGCCATCGACCAAGCTATACCATTAAAGAGATGGTCTCCAAGAGCAAGAGCAGGCTGGACTTTAGAGTGTAAGGAGCTACAGGCTGAAGCACGTAGGCTGAAACGACAAAATAGCCGAAATCATACAGAATAGAGTTGGGAGGCTTACAGAAAAGCCCGAAACGAAAAAGGAAGAGTCATCCGACAGGCGCTACTTCAGGGCCATCGGGAACAAGTCGGAAAAGCTACAGAGAATCCGGAAAGTATGTGGAAACTAGCAAAGTGGGCAAGAAATAGAGGAGAGGTAGCAGCAATAACTACCCCGGTACTTAAAGATCCAAACTCAGATATCGAATATACAAAGGCACAAGACAAAGCGAAGCTCTTCCAAAAAGCTTTCTTTCCCGCCCCTCCAGAACCGGATCTCCAAGATATACGCGAAGCCAATTACTCAACCAACATTCCTTTCCCAGATATTAAAGACAAAGAAATATACCTAGCTATCAAATCAACACCTCCATTTAAAGCAGCAGGCCCAGATGGTATCATAAACCAAGTCCTTCATATCACCGCTAGCCAAATGGCCCCCCATCTAACAAGAATATTCAACACCAGCTTAAAACTAGGATACTGCCCGGCGCACTTTCGACAATCTACTACAATCGTTATTAAAAAGCCCGGTAAAAGTGACTACACAATTCCTAAAGCATACCGACCAATAGCTCTGTTAAATACAATCGGAAAGATTATGGATGCGATTATAGCAAAAAGAATCAGCTACATTACCGAGAAACACCAACTACTACCAGAAACACATATCGGAGGGCGGAAGGGAAGATCGACAGAACACGCACTGCACGTCATTATCGAAAAGATATACGAATCATGGAATGTTCCCAGATCACAAATAGCAAGCCTACTTTTGCTCGATGTCTCGGGGGCATTCGACAATGTTTCGCACGATAGACTCGTCCACAATTTACGCAAAAGAAGGGTTGATAAGAGAACAGTGAAATGGATAACTAGTTTCCTAACAAATAGAAGTACATCTATATATTTTGATTCATTTCGATCAGAAACATACGAAACGAAAACAGGCATCCCCCAAGGATCACCATTGTCGCCTATCCTATACCTATTCTATAATGCCGACCTATTAGAAATATGCAACCAAGAACCAAACACATTAGCTACTGGGTATATAGACGACATCGCAATTCTCAGATGGGGAAACTCAATTGAAGAGAACTGCAAAGGATTAGAAAGAACTATGCAACAAGCTAATGTATGGGCGAAGAAACACGCATCAGTATTTGATCCAGGAAAGTTTCAACTAACCCACTACACAAGAAAGCGCCTCGCAACAGAATTAGATCACGGGATACAAATGGAACAAACAACAATCTACCCATCTCCAAGCTGCAAATATCTAGGAATCACAATGGATAAAAAATTGAATTGGAAACAGCATATCCAAAAACTAAAATTAAAGGTATCGAGATCTATTGGGGCTCTGTCAAGCCTAACAGGGTCCACATGGGGAGCAAAAGTCACAGAACTAAAAAGGATCTATCAAGCAATCGTAATCCCTCAGATGATGTATAGATATTCGATATAGTCTATCGCGCAAGAGCAAAGAGAAGGATATACACAACAAACCCTCAACTCTCTCACAGCACTTCAAGCAAAAGCCGCTAGAACCATCAGTGGCGCATTCAAATCAACGTCAAGCCCTGCGCTAAACATAGAACTGCACTTGTTACCCATCGAACAACAAATCTGGAAAACCAATAGCAAAACAATGAGCAGAATTCTCTCTACAGAAAAAATACCAGCTTTGATGGGATTCCGAACGATCAGAGACAGAAGGAGTCGAGGAAGAAAGACACCATACCAAAGTCCCCTTGAACATATCTTCAAGCGCCTACGCCATCGCCGAGGCCCAACGATCGATTACCAGGAGATCATCCCACCATATCTTGTCCCACCATGGTGGCGGGGGCCCAACACCAGAATTGCAATAAATAAAGATATAGCGAAAACACAACACAAAGAGTTTCTGAAAAACACATCAAATAGCATATTTATATATACCGACGGTAGCGGTATTGAGAACCATATAGGTGCTGCAGCGGTATCTCCATTAACCAGAAACACAAGAAGAATCTATATGGGAGATAGCGAGACATCGACAGTATACGTAGCTGAAGTCCAGGGCATTGTCTCGGCTCTCGAGATGGTGATCGAGGATGCCAAAAAAGGAAACAGAAGAAAGAGAGCAGTTGTCTTTACAGATAATCAAGCTGCTATCAGGACATTCCAGATGCCAACCGGCAGATCCGGCGCATATATTATCGCAAGAGCTATATCTCTTATAGATAAAATACAACAAGATCTTGAGCTAGAAATAGAATTAAGATGGATACCAGCTCATATAGGCTTATGCGGAAACGAAGCGGCCGATAGAGCAGCCAAGGAAGTAGCTAAACAGACCCTCCATATTCACAGCTCGGAAATCATACAAGCAAAAACGTACCACCTGCAAACAACCCTAAAAACCTGGCTGCACCGGTGGATCAGGGCGGAATAGGCATATAATTGGGAAATGAAGTTCAAAGGACGAACTACCTACAAATACACCCCAGAGCCAAACAGAAGGATTCTACAATTACATTACAAGTTGAAGAAATGGCAGAGTGCTATGCTTATCCAGATGCGTACGGGAAAAATTGGATTGAGGGACTATCTTTGGAAAAAGAAAGTGCCTGACTTCAATCATCCAGGATGTGAATGCGGCGAGGGACGACAAACCGTGGAGCATATCTTGTTAAAGTGTAGAGATTTTAACGATTTACGAAAAGGATTATTCAACAGCAAACGACAAACCGATTCTAGGGCAATCTTGAGCAATCCAAAACTAGCTACAAAAGCAATCAAATTCATGGAACAGACGCAACTCCTTGGGCAATTTAGGATGTGCGAAGCAGCATAAATAGAAGAAGCAGATCATTGGGGGGAGACTGAAGGTATAATGATATGTGATAGTTTGTTAAAGCAACAACCAAAGAACCAAACACACATCAAAGTTTAGATCAAAGCACTCTTGTAAACAAGTATGTATATAGTCGTAGATAAGAGCCAGACCGCCTAGCAGAGGAGGTTGATGGTCACAAATGTGTGATGAAGTGAAGTGTGACTTACCACATAAAACTGGTAAGGAGCATTTCGGCAACTGCGCCAAAGCTAGGCCTTTTCCGGCATAGCCACTGCTAACTCAGAGGCTGGAACCGAGTATGAATTAATCAATCAATCAATCAATCAATCAATTGGCCTCTCAAGCCTCTCGATCAAGAAGAGCTGAAGGATTGAAGCTCAGTCCGCTCGCTCCTCTCGAGCCACGAAGCATGAAGGTTTATATTCTAGACGGCAAACCTCGTAACACCATGCCAAAAAAGCTCTAACCTCCTATGTACGATGAATGAATTCAATGGAACCCCCTTATACATAACACAAGGACATATACCCCTCTCTACTTTCATTTTCCATCGCTCGTCATTCAAATCTTCCAGATGAAAATGACGGACTTCACCATCTAAGTCCTAGAACATATGTATCGATAGCTCAAAGTAGCTATTCCAACCAATCCCTTTTGTACAAACTATAGTTTTCAAAAGCACAAGATGTGCAATAGGATACCACATCAGATAGTTTGTTGGCATATTGCAGTCCAAGGTACCCAGTTCAATGTAGACGTAAGACGGGACAAACATCAGTAATTCTAAATCCCCTTCTTTCGTAGTTTTCAAAGCCCTCTTTAGTATGGTTGATATGCTTGCAAAGTGTAGAAGACAGCAGTAATGCTGTTGTTGTAGAGGATGGTTGAATGAAAGAAGTTGTCAAAGATGAAATGGAAGGAGAGATGGTAGGTTGAGGGAAAGAAGTTGTAAACATTGCAGAAGACGATAATGCTGCAGAAGCTGTAGAAGATATTCATGTATTAACGTAAGATGCTTGATGATAACTCCTTCCTTTGTTGGCCAAATTTCTTGTTTCCAGAAGCATATCTGTGCCTTCAATTCCTTTACAATGCCAAAATTCATCATCCGAAGTCTTTTTTGATGAGAAGAACGATTTTGTTCGACTATCAAAAAGTGAAGATACTGTAGCAGGAACTATGGGTGTTGGTACAAGAAGGATACAGAAGACGTAGCACCCACGGATTATGTAGGTCCTGTATATTTAATTGTATTCTGTCTAAAGAGCTAGCTATATATTGAAAATAGTAAGTCTTATATAGTGTTGACCTGAAGAATGATTATATGAACCCAATTAACCACTCCTCAAGAGTGGCGTCACTTTTGGGCAACAGTTATGAGCCCGGTTTGCGGTCCCATGGTCCAGTGGTATCATTTATAATTTCCACTACCAGCGCAACTTGCAATCATCATATTCTTCAGTAAAAAGTTACATTATCGATTATATCGCATCCAATGAGAGTTACTCCTAAACTCCAAGCGAGCGATCCCCATGCACCTCGACGGAACAAGCCTCTGAAGAGGGGTAGAGCCAATCAGATGCTCTCAGAACCCTACTCTTGCATACATGCCCCAGAGTCTAGAAAAAATGTTAGACAGTAAAAGGCAGAGGACTATGTTATCCGGCCAATCAACTCAGATCGGATCAGCCAATCATATCCAGGAATAGCCTCAAAAATAATGGCATATCCTGATTCGGCAATCCCTGAGGGGGAGTGTTGACCTGAAGAATGATTATATGAACCCAATTAACCACTCCTCAAGAGTGGCGTCACTTTTGGGCAACATATAGACTTACTAAAAGAGCTAGTCTCTTTCGCGTTCGCTTAGTTCTTTATTACAGTAGTAATTGAATTGAAGTCATTCACTTCGTTCACACAGAAAATAATGCAATCGAGAGAAAGAAGATATTGAATTATTGAGTAGGAGAATGGAAAAGCAATAATAGATGGGAAAGTGGTATAATAGAAGGCTAAAAGAGAAAGGATAATGAAGTAGTGAATGGAAGGATAGAATATCAGTAGTATAATAATATAATAAAAAGAAAAGAGGATGGGAATAGTAATAGACTCTACAATGAGTATCTGCGGATCAGGTTATTGAATTGCTGGATAATCCGTAGGTAATTCGTATACAGAAGGGATATTGAAAAATTCAAATGGATAATCTATGGGGCAGGTAACATTTGCAGACAATCTGTAATCTATGAATAATCTATCCTGCAGATTATCTATCAAGCTCATCTGCAGGGTTGATGAAGCCAAGTTAATAATCCGCGGCTTGTGGATTTAATAGGGTAAGGTAGGGTGATATAGAACAATATTGTAGCTATTGTTATGATAGTGTACTTCATATATTCAGTGCAAAGAGATTTGATATAGTATTTCGAGTATCTAATCGATATCCTTATATTATCGGTAACAGAAAGTATAAAGTGGAGTATTGAAGGGGAGATATCAAAGTAATGGAAGAGAAAGTAAAAGGGAGGAATGAGGAAGGTAGGGGAATGAAATGATGTGAATAGCGATGTTGAGGCGAAGTAGGGGATGAAAAAGAAAGAGAGGAGAAAGGAAAGGGAAAATATAAGATATGGAGGATGGAATAGTATTGGGACTTGAAGGTCGAGAATAGGGGTGGAGATTGATTGATTGATTGATTAAATTAACGTCTACACTGAGTCTATGATTATCTAAGACGGCTAGGAGCTTTGTAGGCTTCTAACAATAATAAATGGAGGGTAGCTGGCCTTATTCGATTGTAGCTAATACAAGTTGGGGAGATTGAGAGCCTCAATCTTCTGATGTTTGAATGGGGGAAGTGAAAACTAATACTAGGGAACCAAGCCTGCCTTACAGATACTTTTGTATTCAAATAAGAGGAATAACAAATGAAATGTAATGAAAATTGACATTGGGGTGATTGCCCAAATTGACCAAATTGACCATAATTGATCAATTCAATCACAATCTTCCGGTCCATCCCCTTCTTCTCCGCCTTCTCCCTCTTCTTCTTCATGTATTCTATTGAGATGCTATGATCTGGTGGCTATTCTCGTCGCCTCGATAAATTCGAGGGTCTTGATGATTCCTGCTTTGGTATGAAGCAGATATTTTATGGTAGGTCGGATTGTGAGGTTATCCTTATTGAGGGTTTTCCTTGCCGTTTTATATATAGGACAATTGAGCAGAAGATGATCAGGAGATTTCTTTCCCCTACATCTACAATTGTCATTAGAGGATATATAGGGGTGAAGAAATCAGAGTGGAAAGAATGAATCAGGAAAAAGTAAATTGATACAATTGAGGCAATTGAGTAAAGTAGGGAAGAAGACAATAATAAAGTATTGGGTTTCTTGAGACCAGAAAGAGCATCAGATTGAATTGATTGATTCTCTAGCTAAGCAGTTAAGCTGTGAGTATATATTCAAAAAATGAAGGAATAGGTTAGGTATTCGGCCTTCGGAATTAAAGTGCTTTGAAATCAAAATATTGAAAGCAAACAAACAGTATACCAAAAAGGAAAGAATGAATTAAAAGTTGTTTTTTTTTTGCTCCTTATATGCATCATGTAATATACATGCATATGCTGCCAAGATCCCAGGAGGTCAACAGGAAGTGCCGCGCTGTTGCACCGGTCCCATCACAAAGGGAATATTGCGCCAGAGATTCTGTTATTGAGTATAACATGCATCCAAATAATATCAGCTTGATTTCTCATAAAATGACCAGGAGCAAGGTTAACTTTGTTGGAAAAACTTGACGTTGTGTTAAGGTTAATGGACGATCTCGCTTTCTGCGGTCAGAGGTGGGGGTTAATTTTATTTTCCGACTTCCGGCATCAAGAAGACTAATAACAGGACCACCAACACATTCCGAATCTAATAATCCTCGGTCTGCCAAAAATACCTCCAGTGGGAATTCACATTTCGGAACTTGGTATTATCTGTTCCCTCAAGAGTTCATCTATCGATAGATTGCACATACGAGTGAGTAAGTGAACCATCCTTCTTGGTAATTTAATCATGCAGACATTGTCGCGAACTTGGAAATCCAAGTAGTCCAATTTAACCCAAGAAGACAGGAAGGAGATGACTAAAATACCAGAATTGTCCTTTAGAAGAAAAACAGAGTCTACCGGTCAATAGTTGCGACAAAGCTTTAGGGCAGACCAGGATCGCAATGGCTGTCGAAACAATGAAGAGGGTGAATAAGGGATAAACGCGATAGCAAGTATCTACGGATTTTATACAGGAGAGTTCCGGCAAGGTAACGCGAAACAGTGCACAAACCGCAGGGCATAGTGTATATTGGTAGCGAAAGTGATGCTGTTTATACGGCTCGAGAGGACGGATGCGTGTATCGGTCCACAATAGGGTATAAAGCAGCTGGCAATGGGGATACCGGGTAGACTTAGAAGAAAACAGGATAATGGGTGAGGAGGGTTGTTTTTACCTGGGGGCAACCTTCCCAAATGACACTGAGACTGACATCTAGTATCTGGGAAAGAATGGGAAGAATTGATTACTTTTATTCGTATTCTTAGCCTCACTGGATACACTAAAAGACTCATAGATTTGCAAATATAGTGCTATTTCTGCCTCGCTATACCAGGGCTGTCAACGGACTAGCAAACGCCCTCTACATCGACAGCACATACGATTCTACTATAATGCTTTCTTTCAAGGGCAGCCCCCATCATCGACGAGAGTTTGCTGCTATTGCTGGCAGAAGTATAGGTATAGGACCTTAGGCTGGTGGCTTCGAGCACAAAGGAACATACAGCAGGATTACATGTTCAAAAATTATGAAGGTTGGTTGGAAGAGATCAATACAGGGCAGGAGGGGAAATTGCTGGTAGAACATGAGTACTGGATTGGGTAACACTTCGAAGAGCCTATTAATAGCAACAATAGTCACTTTTTAGGCTGCGCAGAAATAATCCGCCCTGCAAACAGATCTTCCGTGGATTATCCACCAGAGCAACAATCCGCCCGGCGGGGCCCCGTTGCGCAGCCCACTTACATACTTACATATTTATATCAATATCCAACTTCTTCATGCTAGAAGTGGATTATTGTTCTAACTCACTTTCAGTTTACCAATTTCATTTGTGTAGCCTCGTTTTGAGTATTGAGACCATTTTCAATTTTAGATATATTTCGAACAGCAAAGTTACTGGAATCGATCGAGGTATTTTTAAAGATTCAAGTTGGTGAAGAGATTGAGAAGCACCTGGTATTTGCTTTCTATCTACAAGGGTAGCTAGGGAGATATTTCTAGTACATTTCCTATTGCTTGATGATGAGCTTCTTCAATAAAGTTACCAAGTCGGCATCAGTTTTTTCTTTCAAACCCAACAATTCATTGTCAGTGTTCTCCATTTTCGCACCGTAACCGGTTCCGAATATCGAAACATTGATATATCCCATCATGACTTCCATAGTAACTTCCCCTTTCGCAAGCTTCTCATTCGAAGATGCAAGAATGGTAGCTGTATCTACAGGAACTGATTCCCATTTCTTTTCTGGTGCAACTTGCTTTGCAAGCTTCAAGAGCTGGTTTTGAGATATTTGAATATCTTGAATGTAGATTACTCGGTTTTTGGTCTCTTCGAATTTTTCTAGGATAGCGACAACGGCAAGACCGATAGTTTCCAGTGTCGTTGCACTGAATAGATGCTCACCGCCGTCGTAGATTTTGGAGTTTCCAGATTCAAGGTCGAGGAGAAAGTTATACTTGAGTCCCCAATCGAGGAAGGGTCCGTTGCGGATAAGCGTGTATGTAAAGGCTAGGTTTTGAGTGGCAGCGGCTTCGAGACGTGATTCCATCGCGACTTTCTGAGCAAAGACTGGGAGAGCCTTGGTACGAGGGTGTCCAAGATCTGAACCAAATTCAGAGGGCAGAAAGCGCTTCACGCCAGCGGCGATGGAGGCGTCGACGAGGAGGTCTTGGCAATGAAGTGCGGTGGCGGAGACACAGGATACTACGGCATCGATATTCTGAAGGGCTGAAGTAAGGGAGGAAATGGAATTGTAATCTACTTTGAGGACAGTCACCGAGGAGGGGAATTGAGAAGTTGATGTGGAATCGGCACGGGTGAGAACGGTGACGTTGAATTTGTTGGATTTGATTAGAACGTCGAGGACGGGTGCACCAAGGGAACCGGATGCCTGTGCTTGTGTTAGACAGGGTTGGATTCGTAATGATAAGAGGGCGGACTGGGTTTACTTACACCAGCGATGGCGACATTTTTGATAACACTCATATTGAAGTGGATTTACGGTATGTGACGGATGCTTTGAGATGATAAAATAAATGGATGGATGGATGACTGAAAGATTAATCACTATCTGGAATAGATACTGGGTCATTTATACATATTTCGAGACTCGAATCACGAGATCAGATCAATGCGACGTCCAGCCTCTGGCCTTCGCGATTCATGGGCCGTGACTCACTGCCGGCACTAAATGGCGGAACGCTAATCCATTTTCATTCTAGCATGGCTCACGCCTAAACTAAGAGCGGGAACTAAGCCTCTTTTGCAAGTGGATCGACGGTGCGTCAAGATTCGGAATTTTCAAAATTCCGACCAGATTCGTGACTGCGATTCCAAGTAATTCATAGGTCAATTGATAAATATCGGAAATTTTGAAAGATCCCGAGCCCTAACCCATTACCGATCTTCGTCTTAAAAGGGCTTAGTTGGAGTTTCGACGGTAGGCAACCATCCACCTTTAAGTTTCAATTGAACCAACCACTCACTAATCACGATATTTTCATTATTCTGAGTAGACGGCCCAATCAGGAATGCTGAATAGCACAGCACTTGTCGTCGTCAAGATCTATCCATCTCTTCTTTGGCTTTTTGCTCTCTCAAACTGTCAAGCTTGACCACCCAGGGAAATTACCCTTAAGCTCTTGGCGCAAGTAACCATTTTCTTTAGGTATGCAATGCGGCGCATATTTGGTGACATTACACATTCCACTGGGTGTAGTCAATACTTTTCACACCTTCCATGTTTCTGCAAAAACCCTGCGTAAGTTATCCATTCTGCGTTTTGCTATCTCAGCAAACAATCTAGGCATTTGATGGTGGTAAATGAGTGATTCCCAGATCCTTTCTGCAAGACTATGAACAAGTCAGAATTTTTGTTCTTTTCATCGAAAAATTTAAAATCAAATATCTTAGGTGAATTTCAGATTTCTGTATTGCGACTTCATTCCATAAAACTTCCTATTCTATCCTTCATCCCACTCCACATTTTCTACATCATTCCATCTACAAGGTAAATATTGACACTTCAATGTCTATTGATAAATGTTGTTTACCCACTTGAGATTATTTCTCCAGTTTCTTCTCAAAACTTGCAATCATGTCCGCTTCTCAGGGAATGAATGTTGCAAATGGCACCAATGGAGCTACGAGGGCGAATGAGCCCACAGCTAGATCACCAGAAAACCCAAAAATGGCGAATAGTACCAAAGAGAAAAGGCCAAACATTATTCGAAGGCCGATCCGGAGGCTCAACAAGAACCAACCAAAAGTCCCAGGCATAATCGTTGCAACGCCCGCTGAGATCAATGAAGCAACAGCAAAATTGTTCGCAAGGCTGGAGGACAGATATATTGTATTGTTGATATAACGTAATATACCTGAAACTAACTTACACCTTAGGTACGCGGACGGTTTTAGGGCCCAAGGTTTTGAGGCGGAGAAACCATTCATACCTCGCAGATTCGAGACGCAACGAGCACTCTATCAATGGGCACTTCCTGGAAGCACAAGCTCATACCCACCTCACTTGAAATGGATACCTCTTGATAATCGTGTAGGACTGCTTAAAATTTTCAACCTCAGGCGATTCGTTGATGTGTCGGTCTCACTCCTCCCTAAGATCCCGCCGGAGATTTCAAATCTTCTCTCCGGAGATCCTTACAATGGGACTACCATGGCAATGCTAGAAGAAAGAATGATTGCTTTAAACAAGGAACAGAAAAATGTCGGAACTGAACCTAGCATTGGCTATCGTAAAGATTGGTATAGTGATGCAGTGTTTGCTCAACAATATTTTACCGGTCCTAATCCTTCATCCATCGCTCTTGCCAGTCAAATTTGGCTTGATAGGTTCAAAAATGCTGTCTTTGATCAAGGCAATAAGGAAATGCATAGCCTCCTTGAGCGATTCAATTCAAACTCCTTCTTTATCCAAGATTGTAGTTTCTTCCACGAATGGGCTGGCGCTTCGCCCGACGCTACTCTCAAATTTGACAATGGTAAAAGATTTGGATGCGCCTCTGTAACATTGTTCCATCTGAATGCAGATGGTGATCTTCATCCTTTAGCTATTGTTTTGGATTATAAAGTCAGCATGGAAAAGTCGGTGACGATCTTCAATAAAAGAATCAATCCAAAGGATCCAAAGGATAATGAGCACAATGACTGGCCATGGAGATATGCCAAAATGTGTAGTTTGGTTGCCGACTGGACTCATCATGAGCTGACATTACACCTCAATGACTGCCATTTTGTGGAGGAGGCGAGTGCGGTTGCGGCTTATAGAAGCTTTCCAAGTGACCATATCGTTTACAAGATTTTGGAACCTCATTGGTATGTTTTGCCACCGTCTCTTTTTTCTACTCTCGAAATTTCCTGGGTTGTATTTATAACGACAGCTGATCGGATGTGATGTAACAGGTTTAAGACTCTCTCTCTTAACGCTGCGGCCCGTGATACTCTTGTTCCGCAGCTGATAAGCAAAATCAATGGATTCACTGAGCGGCAGACCTACGATTATCTTCTCAGCTCTTACAGAAACTTTAACTGGACTGGCAACTATGCTCCGACTTCTCTCATTACGCGTGGCTTTCCTCTGTCGTCCCTAAATGACAAGAGTGACCGCAGATTTCACAACTATGCATACGGAAAAAATATGGCCATACTGTGGCCAATCCTGTTTGATTTTGTCTCGTCTATGCTCGGCACATTTTACACCGGGGATGCTGACGTTGCAAAAGACACCTGTGTGTCTGCTTGGTGTAATGAGATGCAATCGCCAACGGGTGGTCAGATGCCCACCTTCCCGAGTATCAGGACTCTTGATGAATTGACGAACGCGATAACAATGTGCATTCATATTGCCTCGCCTCAGCATAATGCTATAAACTACCTCCAAAATTACTACATGTCGTTCATCCCTAACAAACCGCCATCTCTACAACAACCACTTCCTGGAAGTTTGAGCGCTCTTCAGAAGTACAGGGAAGTCGATGTCATCAATTCTCTCCCAGTCAATGACCCAACACTCTGGATTCAAGCATCACAACTTCCCTACCTGATTAGCTTTAGAGTTGCCGAAGATCAAACACTTTCAGCTTTTGCAAGGGAGCTGAGAAACGCCACAATCGATCCCCAGGGGAGATTCGCTGGGCCAGGAGACGCCGCGAGAAGAACAGACGGGGTAAGAAGAGCAGCTGAAAAGTTGTTGCAGGATCTTGACGTCGCAGCAAGGAAGTTTAAAGAGAATAGTGATGCGCTGACTGAAGGAACCGCGCCGCATTTTGTCATGGACCCTGGAGAATTGGCCGTGAGCGTGCTAATATGATGTCATGTTGACACCCTTCAGTTACTTGGAAGTATTTCCCTTTTCGCTTTGGTTTGTTGGAGAGCTTTTAACTGATTTCTTTCCTCAAATTTTGATTTATACCCCGGCTTGGAGATTGGTTTAGATAATAATAGGGTTTGGATGGAATTTATGTTAGACATGAATTCAATCACCATGTTTCGTCGCGTCTGGCTAAAGCTTGGAGGTCCATCGTGTTTCAATTTACGTTCTCAAACTTCCTTTTTGTGGCGTTTTGCTTATTTTAGTGATAAACTAATGCTCCAACTGAAATTTATACATTTCCAGTCATATTTCCCCTCATATTTAGCTTCGCTTTTGTACTTTGAGTGAAATTCCTACCTATTGAATCACTATACTGACCGTTGCATCATCTTTTTCAAACCTCTTTTTTTTCCAAGGTAGAACTCGACTTGAGGATACCTCCATCACGTCGTCTCATTCACAAGAAGGTAGAAGCATAAAAAGCAAACTGTCATTTCGTCAGAATATCTTGATATTGTACTGATGAATACACTCAGCTTGTCTACATTGATAAATGATCGCTCTGTGTTCTAAACATTATCCACTATCATAAATACCACCATAATTCTATGGAACAACAGTTTTCAGCCATGAAAGTGATAAATCTGTGAAGAAGCTAGCTCCCTTAACTTTCGTCGGCGCACCAGAAACTGTAACATTGCATCGAGTGGGAAGATTTCCCGCTTTGTCAACCTTACCCTTGATCAGTGCGGAGTAGTCGCTAAGGAGACAACTAGAGCCAGGTCCAGATTGACATGAATGTACTGGGTATACAACGTCATTGAGGAGTATACGGATATATGTTGCGTTGGTTGAGGTGCTCGACAAGGTTGTTTTTCTGTATGAATTTGGTGCTGAGCTTGCAAAGCTGGTGGAAGTTGCATTTTCGGATATAGCACAATTCATTCGTTCGAACGCCACTGTCCCTCTCATGCTAACAAAGTGACTCGAGATGTATTCGTACTCCCGTGGAATCTTAGTACCATCACCCAGAGAGGTGGTGTTGTCCCATACCCCAGTTACAGCTCCGAGTTCTGCGATCTGTCCGTCGTTCATAAAGGCAGTGAGGATACTAGGCAATGTAAATATACTCCCATTGGTCGAGGTTCCGTTGATAACCGGGCCTTGTTCTAGGATACCAACGAGGGCATTTAGATATGGAAGCATCATTTTAGAGGGCAAATCTTCACCCGGCCCCATCCCATAGTAATATCTGAGATCCTGCGCAAACTCATACTTTTTGAGTTCCTCATCCGTAAATACACCACACCATGGGGACAGTTTACCTGTAATTTGGGATTCGAACCCGCAAAGATAAGGCATGATGGAGATATCCGTGGTTGAAAATTTCAGATTTCCCGTGATTAATGACTCGAGGCGTGCCTGAATGGGAGGAAGATATATTGAGTTCCACGTTACATCTGGTATGGGTCAGCTAGAATAAAAACAATCAAACATTACATGCCGAGTTGAAGAATTGAAGAAAAACGGTGCTTACATTCTGTACCGCCGTTACCATCCACGAATGCAGGACACAAATCACTCGGACTCAAACTATCAAACAGCGCCGCGTCACTTCCAGTGGAGTTGATGGTAACTACCATACCAAGACTGCTTGCTGCAGGCCCAAGAAACCCCCTCACAAAATTTTGAGCAGTTTGAACAACACGGGGATAGAGGTTAGCCCAGCTTATGAAAGGCTGCCCATATGAGTAAAGATCTGGGTACCGAGTCCGGAGTTGATAGCCGAGATCATACGCTTCTTTATATCCGGTGGGACTTTCTTGAGCGATCTGAAGTTTCGGAATTGTCAAAACTGGCTCCCAGGATTTGAGGAAAGCTAAAGAACCGGTGGAAGTAAAATTCGCAGCTTGGATCTCAGCATACAAGGCAGTCCATTGCGCATATGCCCCCGAATCTGGATATCGACTTCCATGTCTAACATTATACGCTACTTGCTCTACGTAACAGTTATCAGGTACTTGATTGCTGATGCCGTAAACATTTGGCCCTAGTTTTGATCAGCATCTCTAAGTATCTCACTTTAGGATGTAGATCAATCGAAACCATACTTCACTCATTCGAGAAGCTTTTGCGGAAACTCACCAGTAAAATAAGGACTATTGGCCCCCAAAAGAGTAAGTGGGTTGATGGAAACCCAACTTGATGGAAGGTGAATATCCTGTTCCGGTGCCAGAAATATACTTGCTTGACAAAAAGAACTAAGTAGCAATACCTCGAAGAGGCTAAAAGGAAGAATGGCTCTCATTTTTATTACTGCCGAATGGAGTGATATGTTGAAGGAAGACCGGAGGACGTGAAGTAGAGATCCTTGGGAATATTATCAGCAAATGATAAGATCCTCAATGACGAAACAGCCCAAAAACTTTTCATGAGCAAGAGGAATTGACGCGCCTATTTATAATTCTGATGTATCAACGATTCAACATATATGCATGGAGCAAGATACCCATGACAGCCAAATTCGGGCAATTCATCCGACTGGAAGATCTATGCTGCGCGTGGATTATAATCTGATCAATAACCAGGTACAATAACCGGAAGTGGTACTTTCAATCATTGATGAGTGTTTCCAGAGATATTGAATAATAGCGCCGCTCAGCCGTTTAATTATTCAAAGGTCTTAATTGCGCCGTCACACTTCTTGAATAGTATCTAACCTGGTTAGCAATAATTTAAAAGAGTGGCACTACGTGTTGACATCAGAGTAAGTATATAATTGGA